CATAAAACCACGGCTCGAAAAATTCAGTCGCGGCTCGCCAAGTAGATATATTCCATACTAGGTGGTATCCATGATACTTTACCCTGGCCGCCTGGCATACGCCATACTGGAATACATCCTAAAATAAATTTCTGGCACCCACACCAAACCAACCCTTCCAGAGTCCAGACCATGAGCAATCAATTTTGGCATCCTTGTCATCCGTTTGCTGAATTGCTGCAAACATTGGCGTCCACCATCTGATTAGTAACATGCAAAAAATAACATTGAAAGACTTAAACAACTTACTTGAAAATGTAGCCTTCAGAATTGCTTTTTGCAATGCACAATACATTTCTGCAACTCTGCTAAAACTGTTGTCAAACTATGGCAAATTATTTACAACTAAAGGACTGAAATGGAATATGGTAAGTAAATTGAGCTTATTGAGGTTTCATCATTACATGATTTACATCACTGTCCCATCTTAAACAGCTATCAGTATCACACTATAATCACAGTACTATCACAGTATCTGAGTATCACGCAGTCTTGTGGAACATTATTGTCAATGTGATAATATAGTCTGATACCTAGGAATCTGATTCCTCATTTATGAAAATGAAGTGATAACTGATGTCTGATGTAATGGAGAAATGGAAGCCGTTGACCGGCTTCGCCGCTGCGGCAGGAGCGCAGGCCGCAGGACAGTCTGACCGGTCATTTAAAATTTCGAAATTTGTCCAGCATTTGGATGATTCGGTGAAGTACCTAAATCTAAAAATGATATGAAACACATTCATGGTTTTATAAAAAGCGACAATAAAAAAATCTCATTTCATCATTAAATAGTCTTGACACGTTGTCTCTGACTCTCTGTAGGGAGAAAAACTCCTAGACTGCTCAGTGTTCACTGCTAGAGAGTAGAGACGAGACTTGGCCCCAGGCCCCAGCAGTCGTTTTTTTAGGATTGCCGGGGGCCCGGAGATGGCATGGGCATGAGTGAAATCAGGCCGGTACTGTATAACGGAAAATTTGAAATATAGAAACGATTTTTGCATCACAACCAGATTCTTGCTTTTGTGCTGTAAAGTGTAAAAGTACCTAATAAACAATCAGTTGATGCATATAATAGCTTAAAATCAGCTCAGCTACGTTGTTCAATCAAAGTTGAACGAGTTACAAAGCCTCCAATTTCAGTTTTTGCGACATGAGACGCAGGCCGGTGCCCGAAATTATCCCACTTNTTATGTTATGTTATGTTATGTTATGTTATGTTATGTTATGTTATGTTATGTTATGTTATGTTATGTTATGTTATGTTATGTTATGGCATTCGACAAGAATGTGGTATGACTGATGACGTTTGCATTTATACTAATGTATGATAGTATGCAAGATGATGATGTCGTGCATAATGACGTTTGTGCACAATATAGTGATGACATTGAATAGAGAGATGGTGTAAATGGTGATGATGGCATGTGCAATAATGATGACATGTAAGATGATGATGTCGTGGATGATGCAGGCATGCAACATAATGGTGATACTGAATATGATAATGTGTTAATGATGGAAGTGGCATAATAAAATCATGCAAGATAACTAAGTGATGATAATTCATATTACGGAAAAAGTTACAATATTCGAAATGAGAGTCAACAGAATAAAGCGTAATGAAACTATTATGTCCCTACCCTGCAATCAGACCAAACGATGGCCAATCAGTTCGTAAGAAATGAAGGCATCGAACAACTTCAAATCTGAAGATCGATGGCCTGCTATCTCGTATGCTTTTAGCTCGTAATGCATTATTGAGCGGTGGCCTTCCAGGAATTCGTGGCAATGCCCCAGCTTGTAATTTACCGTGGATTGTCTCGCCTTAAAACTGATCTCATTGTTCACACTTCCCTCACTTACACTCGAGTTATACGAGTATCGAGGTGTAGGTTGGTGAGCGCAGCATTTTTGAATCCTTAAAAACTTAAATGCTATAAATAATTTTTTTGTTTATTTTGATCTGTAATATTCGAATATTAACAATATCGGCCAATCTATTTCTGAGTAGAATCTTATGAAATTTTAGACATATATTGCATTGAAATGAATTATAAAGTGAGAATTTAGGTGAATTCCATTCTAATACGAATCAATTTGCAGTTGCATCACATATCTGTCACTCGGAAATATTTGTAATGATGCATACTACTAAATTGTAGTTCGGATCAGAACTACACTGCAAGGGCTGTCACTCTTACTGCTGGAGAGTGGTGGTTACCTTGATCCCACTTGGGAAAGTAACGCTCCCTCAGTTCCGAGTTGATGTTTAAATCATTTAGAATCTTGATATTTATGGTGAACATTACTTATTTTTTATCAGTGCTCTCCATCTCATTTTCTTTGCCCTTTTTGAAGACCATTATTTTATGTGTCAGTGGCGATTCAAAATTCAAATCTCCTATCAGTCGATACCCTATACTCACACTACTGCCTGTGGTTTTTGAGTAGTTACCAAAATATACCCTTTTGATTCACTGCTCAGATATTCATTGATAAAGATTTTAATGCCGTGTTTTGATAAAACTTTTATAGATAAGAAATATATTCACCTCAGTAGTTCGCTGCAGCGCAACTGCAGCGAACTACTCGTAATTACGCTACTTCTACCAACGCATGCTGAAAGCCATATGAAATAATTATAGTATTTATAGAAGTTGCACAATTATATATCTAATAAATTATTTACAAAAATCCTTGTTCATCAATTCAGATTGTGGCTGGTCAAGAGATTTTGATGTGGCATTTACGAGTAATTGAAATGCTGGCAGCAAGTTGCGTGGAGTTTTATCCTAACAGCGGCAAGAGAACTCCAACAACAACAAAATGTCACAAATTTTATGTGTTTTTAGGTCCTTGCTTTTTCAGTAGTTCGTAACTTATTACTATTGCCGACGAGCAACTGACAAACGTAATAAGGTCAATTCAAGACTGAACTTGGCATTTATGATCACAATGAAAAATTTGAAACTGTTCCGTTAGCAGTAAAAAACGTATATTATGGCGAAGAGTTTAGTCGAAATAGCTGATCAAACGAAATAATGAACAGACATGCTTATTTTTGGATTAATTGCAAAATTTCGAGATGATCACATGCATTAGTTATCCTCTCTACTTCAATCGCTTCTCTCGTCAATAATTTGCCAAATTATTTTATTTATTTTATTATTAATTTTGCAGCAGTTGAAAAGCAAACCATGGTATATGACACGATGAATACCGTGCTCTGTAATACGTAGTGAACATGACACCATGAATACCGTGCTCTGTAGTACGTAGTGAACATGACAATGAATATCGTGCTCTGTAGTACGTCGTGAACATGACACGATGAATACCGTGCTCTGTAGTACGTCGTGAACATGACGCGATGAATACCGTGCTCTGTAGTACGTCGTGAACATGACACAATGAATACCCTGCTCTGTAGTACGTAGTGAACATGACACCATGAATACCGTGCTCTGTAGTACGTCGTGAACATGACACGATGAATACCGTGCTCTGTAGTACGTCGTGAACATGACACGACGAATACCGTGCTCTGTAGTACGTCGTGAAGATGACACGATGAATACCGAGCTCTGTAGTACGTAGTGAACATGACACGATGAATACCGTGCTCTGTAGTACATAGTGAACATGACACAATGAATACCGTGCTCTGTAGTACGTCNCGAGTTTATTGTTACAGTTGAAATTGTCTCTCTTACCAATAAAACCATTTCTAGGCTTAACTCGCGTGAATAAAAGTATAAATTCTTTGCACAGCCGTTTACGGAATAAGCTCTATTTGCCCCGCGTTTCAGCAATAAAAACATAGGACAATTAAGTCACTGAATCTAACTGAAGCCTACAATTAATTCACTTATTAATTCCAGAAGACTGATCATGTAATCGTATTAATTTCAGAGGAGCGCTCATGCGCACTGCAAGATGGAGCCAAAGTTGAACTGTTCGCCGTCACCGACGATTGTCCTGAGGCCAAACTGTGCTCCATTGGAGGATTAGTTGGTGGGTGCCTCCTGTGTGGATGTGTCTGCATATTTAATAATTAAAAGGTTAATCGCAGCTTTGACCGATCGATAATTACAATCTTTGTAATTTTAGAAATCCTGTAATCCTGATTCCCGTCATCTTGAGAGACGTAGTTCAAGAAGATTTTGCCGAGGTTTTTCGCACAATTGTCGAAAGTTTGAACATAGGTTGTGCAAGACTTGTCCGTGGGTTTGCCGAGGTTCTCTGGACTCCATCTGGATTTTGTACGAACTCTGTCCGTACTTGCTCCAAAACCGAACTCTGTCCGAACTTGCTCCAAACCAAACTCTGTCCGTACTTGCTCCAAAACCGAACTCTGTCCGAACTTGCTCCAAAACCGAACTCTGTCCGAACTTGCTCCAATGCCGAACTCTGTTCGAACTTGCTCCAAAACCGAACTCTGTCCTACTTGCTCCAATACCGAACTTGCTCCAACAGTCCGGACTTTGTCAAAACTTTGTCTGAACTCCGTCTTGACGTTAGTCCGAACTCTTTCTAAGGTTTGTGTGAACATTGCAGTAATATGTCCAAAGCATTTTCGAGACTTTCCCAGCGCCGTGTTGCCAAGGACGCATAATTTTAGACTTCGCAATTTTACAATCCCGTAACACCAAATCCATAATCCGGTATCCTATCATCGTGAATCCAGCCGTCCTACTAGACTATTCTCTTTACAGTCTGTACATAGGCAATATACGCCTCTAGATATTTTCTGTTCAGGCTTCAAATACACACACATAAAAACTTTAACAAAATGAACAAGTTTTATAGTCATATACCAATTTTTCCGTTTTAAATCGCAAGTATTTTATAGTATTAAACTGTTTCTGCTTATTTCGGCTGTGAAGCCATCCCGATGTCAGAAACTTCTTCCCTGATGGAGTGCTGCCCAAGCTCCTCCTATGTGGACGGCCTTGGCTGCGTCCTAACTCAGCTGACGCCTTCCGTCAACTTCTGCAAGGCGCAGAAGTTTTGCAGGTCGCGAGGCGCAGAGATTTTCTCTGCGAAAACTCCAGCGGCTTTCAAAACACTCCGATCACAACTCAACGACCAATATTCAGGTGAAAACGAATATAGAGAAGTTCATACATCACAGCAGGAAAAAAATAAGTTGGAATACTTCTCTTATCCTCAGTTGAAATCCGACAATTAAATTCGAAGTTGAAATCAATTCACAGGAGTCTCGCTAATTGATCGCTTTGAGAACTGAATAGATATTTGATGTGAAAATGCACTAATGTGTGTGGTTCTGTTTAGTTTGTTTAAAATATTTAATTCAATATTTCATGTGTTTGCTACTCGTAATATGCGCACATCAATATCGTAAGGTAACACATCCATGCGACAACATTTCTTCTCGCTTCGAGTCACCGACATGTGGAACAGCTTCCCTGATAGCATCGTTGACGCTCCGAGTATGAAAGCCTTCAAGAACAGACTAGACGAAGCTATGCAGGAGCATATGCTCAGTCTTAAAATGCCTAGCAAATTACGGACCAGGCAATAAGTCCAGCAGCTATCTCAATCAATCGCCAGTTATGGAAAGATCGGGTTCCAAAGGCCGGATCCCTTGTGAATCAAGTCACGAAAAATTCATGAATCGGCAACAGGCCATGGGCCTATTTCTTCAATGCCGACACTTCTATTCTATTCTATTTACCGAATGCATATATAATGATTTCGCTCAAGGGGATGAATGAATGTTCAATTTGCCTCTCTTCTTAATTGAGTAATTGTATTAGTCTTATTTCGACATTAATTGCTGTGAACCGTTCTCTCTCTCCCTCTGGTGTGAATTCATTAGGAAGTCACAGTTTCTGGATGCGCGTGGTGCGGGATTCTAGCGAAGGGTTTAACTGGAATCTGAGTGACAGCAACCGAAATATCACACCGCCTGAGTGGGCAAACAACGCTCCCAGCAACTCTGCCTCAAACGCCTGCGTCCGAGCAAACGGCGCCGATGATTATTTGCTGCGTGACTTTCCCTGTGATTCTGAGGGAGAGGTCCTCTGCCTGTTCAGCAGCACTTTCCCTAAATGCTGAAACTTATTGAATGCTAATGGTCATAAACGCATTCATCTCATTCAGAGGGATAGGTCCTCTGCCTGTTCAACAGCACTTTCCCTAAATGCTAAAACTAATTGCATGCTAAAATGGCCATCAACGCATTCATCTCATTCCGAAGGAGCGGTTCTCTGCCTGTTCAACAGCGCTTTACCTAAATGCTAAAACAGTGAATGCTAAGGGTCATCATCACATTTATCTCATTCCGAGGCTGAGGTCCTTCGTCTGTTCAACAGCACTCTCCCTAAATGCTAAAACTTATTGAATGCTAATGGCCATCAACGCATTCATCTCATTGTGGTTTCTGTAATTTAAATCATTTATGCAATATGAAAAGGTAAACATTCCTTCTTAAGACTGCAGAATAGGCCAAGGTAATAATTAAATTTGACTACTTGAATAATTGAATAAAAAAAGCTATAGAGTCAAACAAGTTCAGTTTGCTCTTACTCGGAGCGGCTATTTACCACAGCAGTATTTTTCAAACGTGATCGAGGGCCTCGAAGCGCTCAATTTAAACGTGTTTGAGCGCAAACCTTCCAAGGACGCACAAATTTGCTCACGATGGACAAACGGCAAATAATTTCTGAGAGCGCAAACAGTAGATCCCCGACTTAAATAGCTGAGCAAACTCGTAAATCAAAACTCAATTCTGGCAGAAGCTGAGCACATTTGTTGAGCCGAGAAAGGCGCTGATTGAACCAGCTGCTGAATGGTGAAGCTTGTTGGAAACTTTTCATCACGCCAAACGATTGAGAACAGCTCAGGTTTTCTAAAGTATAATTTAACGACAGGAATAGAGCAGATCAACAAGACATTTGCATCGAGTCGAAAAGAAATTTTGACGTTTGGCGTTTGAACTGCTGGCCTCTGAGTAGCTCATTTAATAGTTTGCCTCAGCAATAAATTCAAGATTCGTTCAGACACCACTGTTTACAGTCATAGCATGCGTGAATGTATTTATTTCACACGAAGTGGATGTTTCGCCATTTTATTTATTTGTTAATATTATTAGTAACATAGAATTATTGCGATTGAATAACATACTCCCAATATATATTTAAATATATAATAATATTTTAACAATATTTAAATTTTTAGTTTCTGAATCTAGTGGCAATTTCGCTTCTCTAGAACGCATCAGGTAATGAACTAGGAGAACAAATTAATATTTTTCCATCCTTTGGCTCCTACTAGCAAATATTTTGTAAGCCCAATTTCTATTATATTTATAGGATACCAAAAACCAAAATTTAATCATTTGTCATTTATTGCACGGTTTTAATAAATCATAGAACACCAACGTTTCATTTCACTCAGCCATCTGCTGACCATTTATTCATCGTAAACTCGGCAACGTATTCTACTAGCCTGACAGGAGAGTAGAATTGAACGAAAGTCCTTTTAACGACTACAGTCGGCTCGTAACTTGTTATGAGTGAACCATCAAATGTAGATTTCATCTTTAAAACAAATGATTTAATGGAAATTCTAAGCTATAATAGAGCGGTTTATATAAGAAAGGCAGAGACAGTGCAATCGAGTAAGGAATGTGTACCGCAGGCATGTTTATGTGCCTCCAGATTTATTATATATCTGCCTGAAACTCAGGACAAAGTTTCGTTTACTAAGTTCGTGAGGGATAAGTAAAACACCATCTGTCTGGAGAACTAATCTTGATACGAGGTGGTTATATGTGAGGGATACGATACCGATAAAGCTATAAGAGGTCGACCGTTAGGCCGAAGTAGCTTTAACGAGGGTTACATGCAACGTGTTAGTTTGTTACTGGGCGACTTTACTAAGGTTTCCAGCCCTCTTATAGAATCACTGCTTCCGCCCACAACTAAAGGTCTTGATCGCGTGATCTATCACGTGATGTTGTCCATGTCGACTCAGGTTTGGTACTTTTCCATCAATCTCTATCACGTCTAGTGAATATTACGTCTCAATTATAATGAATAGAATGATAAGCCTTATTGACACCGGACAATTCAATGCATTTCAAATGGCCTCCAATGATGGTAAGGCTTACACTGCAGCGGCACTGTTGTACCGCCACTAATGGTCAGACAGAGGCGAGTGGTGAAGCGGTGTTGTTTGTACCTCCAATAATGGTCAGACAGAGACGAGTGGTGCAGCGGTGCTGTTGTACCTCCACTAATGGTCAGACAGAGGCGAGTGGTGCAGTGGTGCTTTTGTACCTCCACAAATGGTCAGACAAAGGCTCGCACGGCAGCGGTGCTGTTTGTACCTCCAATAATGGTCAGACAGAGGCGCCATTGTTAGGCTTTTATCAGAAATGGGCGTATTTCTCACTCAGCAAGCAGGCAGACTACCACCAGCCTGACAGATGACGTGTCGGTTGTAAGTACAAAAGTCGTTACGTAACTTGTAGTCATCGACGCCGGTGAACCGAGCGCACATTTTCCCTGTCACTGCGTCCGGATAGCCTGGAGAAAACTCGGCAGCGTCCACCGGTCGTCCGTTCCCCAGCCAAATGTAAACGCCGTTCACTTTTTGGACGAAGGCCCACAGATCGTATGCTCCTGAGGTGAAATGGATTTATAAAAGCGCGAGTACATTCATTATCAACATTTTTAGTGAACTCTACGATTAATATACGATAACTTGTATTATATTTATGACATTCTGATCAGTTTTCACTCCTAGTTCACGGACCATTGTATTTGCTGCGAAGGATGCTCCTCATGGCATCAAAGTCTTGCACGGTGTCGGCGCTGAACAGCTCGGCTCCAAGGGAGTGACAATAACTGCTATGGTAGCAATATGGTTTGTTGTAGATTTTGGTGAGGAGACAGCCACTGGACGTGACCGACAGAGGCGCCTTGCAACACGGCAGCGGAGACGACTTGTAGTCGAACGCTGGTCGACAGATTGTACTGGCTTGAGTTAACATTTGAAAGCTCGCGCTACTTTCTGGCTAGCTATCAATTTTTGGCCCCTAATCCACGGTGAATTGAATACTCAAAATAATAAATCACATTAAATTTGTTATTGATTCTACATGAATTTGTTTTTGAAATCAGGTGCAAATGTCTATATTTCTTTACTTTTCCTGAGGTATTAATCTCGAATTGTTATAGAATAGAAGTGTCGGCGTTGAAGAAATAGGCCCCTGGGATGATAATGTATGATGAGCATTGTATGATGACGTTATATTATTCTAACGCTATGATGAGCAACTCACCCTTCCTGGACGTTATATTATTCTATCGCTATGATGAGCAACTCACCCTTCCTGTACGTTATATTATTCTAGCGCTATGATAAGCATCTCACCCTTCCTGTACGTTATATTATTCTAACGCTATGATAAGCATCTCACCCTGGATTAGTCCTGTAGGCGAGCAGATCAGGTCGTCGGGACAGAACCTCTGGTGCGTTGCGTAGAGGCTGATGCTGGTGCCGTTGTCGAGGGGGCAGCCGTCGGTGTAGGAGGCTATAGCAACAAGTTTAATTAATGGTATTTATGGAGGGTTATGGTCCTCTTTACCTTATTGCTAGCTAAACTATTGATGTGGAATTTGTCTATAAATTTCAGTGTATAGTATTAGGAATATGAAGGTGTTAATTTTTGCATGTCTTCTCTTTTCAGGTGATAATCTAGTTGAATAAAGCTACATTCTAGCCAACCTTTGTTTGAGACCTATAAGATTTTCAGGTTCATTTCAACCATACAATGTGCATCCCACTGGGTTCAGTATATAGATTTATATAGTCAAAAATTAAAATCACAAAGCGTGTGAGGCAGGTGGTTGATTGCGAGAGTATTTTCAGTTTGCTGTGATAAACTGGTGTGATAAACGTCACCTCAACTCTCTTTCCCTGACGAAAAACTAAGTGCGCGATTAGTAAGGTAAACCTCATCTATGAATTGTCAGCTCGATTAAGATTTTTATTTCCTCCCTTTTGTTACTGAGATGGTAGTGGTAGACTTTTAATCATCATCAGTCATTAAAAGTAGGTATGAAAAACTGTATATGGAGCACTATATGGCCTACATACCGCATTAATTTTTACTGTTTTCTCGTTTTTAGTTCTTAAACTTTTACCTGGAAAAGTTTTTCAAATGATAATGATCATAAATTATTAAGGTTTAACTTCAATCACGGTTAGAAAAATTAGATTGTTACCGCTTACATGAATTAGAGTACATGTAAGATTATTGTCTTAGGTTCAGTCACATTCTAAAAAGTCATTTAAAACAAAGCTAGGAGAACCTAACAGCAAGAAAGGATTAGGGTTACTAGAGAAATTGGAGAGGAGAGAGACTCCGCTCTGCCCTGGGAAGATTTCTCTGCAGCTTTATAGCTCGGTATCGCAGGGACACATCTCGTTGAATTTTTAGCACCAGCCTTCTTGGGCATCTGGTGAACAGGGACACATGAGACAATATGATCTAAATTTACTGGCTATACCTAACGAAATGCGCTATTCTTCGCTGTAGTGCGGATAACAACCTCACAGTGCAATTTGACTCATAAACAATACCTGTATTATTTTTGTACATAGTTTTCTCAAATTGTTCTTAGTTCTTCTGTTCTCACCGGCTGGAGTTTTGCAACGCCAGGAGCCCGTCTGCGGACCTCGCACGTGGTTCAGCTGCCCAGTCACCAACAGGCACTCGAGGCCCAGGAAGCAGTAGAGCAAGGAGCTGTAGCTGACCGCTAGGGCAGCGCACGAACATTCCTTCGATGTGGAAACCAAGGAATGCGGGAAGTTGATGACAGTTGTGATATTCACTGGTACACTTATGAACAAAGTGCTGGATATCTCGCTGCACATGACGCTAGATAGCAGCGTTACCAAATGCATTATGAGCTGCATATTTTCCACAAGATTGCCAGCTGTGAATTAATCTTCCAAATGCGATTGTCATGCGAAATAATAGACTAAATATCTCGATTTATGCCTCAGATGAACATGATATGTAAGTATACTCAGCCAGGTAACTCAGCGACGTCTCAAATTTAGAAGCAAAAACCGTGGCCGAATGTCAAAAAAGCTTCGACTAAATGTGAGCAGAGACGTGCTGCCTTTTATAAGTACTGCAGTGCCTTCAACGAACTGCCACCAGACTTCTATTAGCATTGATCGAGGATTGATAAAATCTAGCCACTGAATTATAAATGTGAAAATCTGATTAAGTCAGTACCTTGCTGAATGGATCTTTTACGACTTCGTGTTGACATCCATTCGTCGTATTTTAAGAAATCGCGACTCTTTGATGCCTGGAACGCAGGAGTCAACATCAAACATGACAAGAGTTCGTGACAGACTAATAAATATGTAAAATCAGATTTAAGCTTCAACCGCCAATGACGTTCAAATCTGCGTCATATACTTGATTAATTTTTTGCCTGCACTAACAATTCTGGGGCAACAAGAAGACTTCATGACCCCGTCTCTCTAAACTGACAAGCTTTCTGAAATTTCTATTTCCTATTTTGCATGGGTGTTTCTATTAATTTCAAACTAATAAGAATCATTCATATACACTGCCGAATAGTAACAAACATATCAAGGATTTAAAACGTCAATGTTGTTACATTTCGGAAATTCATGGCAGCCTTGGACAATTTCCTAACTTGTCCAACATAAAATTGTATGATCGAAATGTGTTTTCTTCCATTAAAGTTGTAAAGTTTCTTCCATTAATTACTCATAGTCTGATGTAAATCAGCATTACGAATGTATGTCCATCAGGCAATTGGTATACAAGTTGATAAATTCATATATTAAATTTCAGGAAATTTGCTCAGGAACTGTCAACGCCTGGCTTGAAGACAAGGGTCTGCCACAAAGGCGTTAATTGTCGTCAATTCATCTCCATTTTCAGTTAATCTCCAGGAGATTATGTAATTTAAGATGCTTCTAGTACCTTTATTCTTATTAAATAATATTCTGGAGGGGAGCCAAGGTGCCAAAGTGCACAACGTGTGGACTCCAATAGACGTAAACGTAAGCACAGTCCAGTCCTTGTCGCACCTGGACATCTCTGTGATGAGAGAAGTAGAGTGTGCTGGAGCCGCTCTAGCCGGCAACACGACGTTGCTTTACTGCTACCAGGCGCCCCGGTGCTTGGTGCTGCTGGACTCTCTTGAACAAGTGCGCCCCGGCGACGGATTAGAGGAATGGAGATGCAAGTACTTCAAAGGTGTGCTCATGCATAGAGCTTGTTGCTCTTCTCATTGTTGATTGGTTCGGGGCAATAAGTATTTCTCGGAAGATACTTAAATAACGAAATATATTTGCATGTTGAATTATTTGGTTACATATCATAATAACTCCGACATAGAGCTCATGCAATAGTCGTTTATTACGATCCGATCATTATCATTGTTATTACGATCCGCCTAATTTTCAGCATAGGTTGCAAATCTGGAAAAACTTTCAGATAAACCCGCAGGGTGGCCTAGATATTTTCTTATATTTGAGAGTCTCTTTACGATCGAGTTTATTGTTACAGTTGAAATTGTCTCTCTTACCAATAAAACCATTTCTAGGCTTAACTCGCGTGAATAAAAGTATAAATATTTTGCATAGCCTTTTACGGAATAAGCTCTAGTTGACCCGCGTTTCAGCAATGAATCTAACTGACAAGTCACTGAATGAATTCAGTGAATCTGAGGACAAGTCACTGAGTCACGGACAAGTCATCTACTCGTATTAATTTCAGAGGATCGCTCCTGCGCACTGCAAGATGGAGCCAAAGTTGAACTGTTCGCCGTCACCGACGATAATCCTGAGGCTAAAATTTGTTCAATTGGAGGATTAGTTGGTGAGTGCCTTCTGTGTGGATGGATGTGTAGGCACATTTGATAATTAACAGGTTAATTAATAAATAGCAGGTTAATCAAGGTGTTGACCGGGATCGATAATTACAATCTCTGTAATTTTAAAAATATTGTAATCCAGATTCCCGTCATCTTGAAAAACGTTGTTCAAGATGATTTTGCCGAGATTTTTCGCATATCTGTCGAAAGTTTTAACAATAGCTTCTCCGTGATTATCCGGAATCCGTCTGGATTTTGTCCGAACTCTGCCCGAACTTGCTCCAAAACCGAGCTTGCTTTGATACCGAACTTTCTCGAATACCCAACTTGCTCCAATACCGAACTTGCTCCTATACAGAGCTTGCTCCGGTACCAAACTTGCTCCAATACCGAGCTTGCTTCAATACCGAACACTGTCAGCACTTGCGCTAATACCGAACTTGCTCCGATACCGAACTCTGTCCGAACTTGCTCCGATACCGAACTTGCTCCAATATACCGAACTCTGCCCGAACTTGCTCCGATACCGAACTTGCTCCAATATACCGAACTCTGCCCGAACTTGCTCCGATACCGAACTCTGTCCGAACTTGCTCCGATACCGAACTCTGTCCGAACTTGCTCCAATACCGAATTTTGTCCAACAGTCCACACTTGTCAAAATTTTAACTGAATTCCGTCTTGAAGTTTGTCAGAACTGTTTCTAAGATTTGTGTGAACATTGCAGTAATATGTCCAAACTTTTTTCGAGATTTTTCCAGCACTGCGTTGAAAAGAACGGATAATTTTAGACCTCCCAATTTTTCAATCCCGTATACCAAATCCCGTAATCCAGTAACCCGTCATCCTGATTCCGCCGCCCTACTAGACTATTCTCTATGTAGACAATATACGCCCCCAAATTATTTCGTGTTCAGGCTTCAAATACGCACACTGAAAAAACCAGTCAAATATTTAGAAGATTTATTGTCATATATGAATTTTTCCGTTTTAAATGGTAAGTATTTTTTAGGTTTAAACTGTTTTTTCGGCTGTATAGACATCTCGACGTCAGAAATCTCTTCACCGATGCGATGCTGCCCAAGCTCCTCATATCTGGACGGCCTTGGCTGCGCCCGAACTCAGATGACGCCTTCTGTCAACTACCGCAATGCGCGGAAGTTTTGCTGGTCGCGAGGCGCGGAAATTTTCTCTGCGAAAACTCCAGCGGATTTCATATCACTCCAATCACAACTCAAGGACCTGTATTCAGGTGAAAACTAATATCGAGAAGTTCGTTATAGCAGAAAAAAAGTTGGAATCCTTCTCTTGTCATCAGTTGAAATCCGACAATTAGATCCGAAATTGAAATTAGCTCACAGGTGTCTCTCTAATTGATCGCCGTGTGAACTAAATAGATATTTGACGTGGAAATGCACTAATGTACGTGGTTCTGTTAAGTTTGCTTCAAATAGCTGATTCAATCTTTCATGCGTTCACTAATATGCACACATCTATATCGTACGGTGTTCAACGAATGCATTTAATTTTTTCGCCGAAGTGATGTATGAATTTACAATTTGCCTGTATCCTTGATTGAGCAATTTTACTGATCTTATTTCGACATTAATTGCCGTGAATCATTCTCTCTCTCCCTCTGGTGTGAATCCATTATAGGAAGTCACAGTTTCTGGATGCGCGTGGTGCGGGATTCTAGGGATGGGTTCGAGTGGGATCTGAGCTACAACAACCGAAAAATCACGAAGCCTGAGTGGGCAAACAACGCTCCCAGCAACTCTGCGTCAAACGCCTGCGTCCGAGCAAACGGCGCCGACGATTATTTGCTGCGTGACTTTCCTTGTGATTCTGAGGGAGAGGTTCTCTGCATCTACAAACGCACTTTTCCTAAATGCTAAAACTTGTTAAAACTTAAAATAAATGCTAATGGCCATCAACGCATTCATCTCGTTGTGGTTTCAGTAATTTAAATCATTCATTAAATATATAAGGTGAACTTTTCTTCTTAAGACTGCAGAATAGGCGAAAGCAATAATTAAATTGAACTAGCAGAATAATTGAATAAAACAAAGCTATTTGGAGTCAAACAAGGTCAGTTTGCTCTCACTCGGAGCGGCTATTTACCGCAGAATTTTTCAAACGTGATCGAGGGCCTCGAAGCGCTCAATTTAAACGTGTTTGAGCGCAAACCTTCCAAGGACAGACAAATTTGCACACGATGGACAAACAGCAAATAATTTCAGAGAGTGAAAACAGTAGATTCCGACTTGGATAGCTGAGCAAACTCGTAAATCAAAACTTAATTCTGGCAGAAGCTGAGCATATTTGTTGAGCCGAGAAAGGCGCTGGAACCAGCTGCTGAATGGTGAAGCTTGTTGGAAACTTTTCATCACGCCAGACGATTGAGAACAGCTCAGGTTTTCTAAAGTATAATTTAACGACAGGAATAGAGCAGATCAACAAGACATTTGCATCGAGTCGAAAAGAAATTTTGACGTTTGGCGTTTGAACTGCTGGCCTCTGAGTAGCTCATTTATAAGTTTACCTCTACAATATATTCAAGATTCGTCCACACGCCACTGTTTACAGTCATAGCACGCGTGAATGTATTTATTTCACACGAAGTGGATGTTTCGCCATTTTATTTATTTGTTAATATTATTAGTAACATAGAATTATTGCGATTGAATAACTCATGGAATGAAAAGTAATTGACCTAAACTATGATTTATTTCTCCAAAACATATGATGGTTGTCACTAAAACATTCCTTTCTGTTTCAGGTATGTTTTTCACAATCTTTTTTTATAGTAAATTCACTTAACCTAATTAAAATTGTGTAAAATTACAAGCCGTCCTGTAAGCTTACAGATACAGAAAAAATCCTATAAGGCTGCTGATATGAAGATTGCAGTGGACAAGGTTATTGTAAATGCTCATTGCTCAATGGCCTGTTCATGGATACGGTAATATTGCATTAATAATACGGTAATATTGCTGCTTATTGCATCAATAATACGGTAATTAATGAATATGGTAATATTATATCAATAAAGGAAAAACAAGTAAAAATCACAGAAAATATCATTTATTCTACCTCTAAGGCTCTACATCATCCACAATGAAAGAGGAGTACTTCAGAGTACTGTTAGTAATGGATGCCAGGATGAGTACCTACACTCTGACTCTGCATGGCGCATGCTTCAAATGTTTTAAAATGAAGTTTTATTCCAAGTGTCCCAAGTAGCCGGTAGCCCCGTTTGACGGGGCTACTTGGGACACTCTTTTTTTTGCTTCTGGCACCTTACGAAAGCATATAGAATATTTTAGGATAAGCCATGTGATAGCCCTTGCAAAGAGCTTTGGAATGAATGAGCCAAAACTTGTTAATGAAATGTAAATCTCTTCATTAATAAATTTAATGATTTGATTGCAATTTAATTGGTTATCCAATGAATTATAAAATACAATCTAAATTCAATATTTTATTCATATCAATAAAAAACAATATATGAAATTATGAATAATATACAAATAGCAAAAATAGGCTAAATGAAAGCTGGGCCTGGTATCTCGGGAATAGGTCCATCACCACTGGCACGATAGTCCAAGCAAAGGCTATACCTCCGTTGACTGGCGGTTGACATAATTCATCATCCTGGAATTCAGGAATTGGGTGCGTATTGACCTCCGGTCACGACCTTTAAATCGGTCATACACTCTGCAGTCTGCATCAAAGCTCTTTTACTAGCGTCAAAAAATAAAAGTTCATGACAATCGCATGTTAACAAAAAGTTAAATTAAAACGTATTTACAGCAATCCTAAAACGAAACTGAAACATTTCGTTATGCAACATCCTAAAAACTACGTAGGTACTAAAACTTTCGGCACGGTCAACTTTGTCTTACCACCCTCCCTCTCTCAAGCTCCACTCCTCGAGACTCAACTCTTCTCACTGATTTATATTGAATAAGTGACTGATAATTCTTATATTCAATCACTCCGCACTCTCTGGGCTTAATATTTTTTGAGATGTAAGCGTCGAACCTCTGGAACCCAGACTCGGTCGTTCTATAATCTTTCACAGAGATGCAATGCCTGTCTTCGGTCGAATCTTGGAAATATATCCCACGCGAAACTTCCCTTACTGTCTGTCGAAGCGGATTGGTCATCATCTGATTCATCTTCGATTCATAATCAACCACAGTAGGCTCATATTGTTCCGGCGGACGAATATGTAAATGCCACACAAAACTCTTATCGCTGTTAACACTACTAGGCATTAGCGAGTGCAGAATGGTGATTTTTATTTTCGAGTGCAGAGTGGTGATTTTTATTTAAAAAGCGTTTGATTCTCCTTTTGCACCACTCCGCACTCTCTGGGTTGAATATGTTATGAAATTTAAGCGTTGAAGTTGTGGACCCTGAAGCGATTGTTATAAGGTTTCACTAGAAACGAGTAACTACAAGCGATAAGATCGTACTCCTGTACTCACCATCTATTAGTCCTGTACTCACCCTCTATTAGTCCTGTACTCACCCTCTATTAGTCCTGTACTCACCCTCTATTAGTCCTGTACTCACCCTCTATAAGTCCTGTACTCACCCTCTATTAGTCCTGTACTCACCCTCTATTAGTCCTGTACTCACCCTCTTTAGTCCTGTACTCACCCTGGATTAGTCCTGTACTCACCCTCTATTAGTCCTGTACTCACCCTCTTTAGTCCTGTACTCACCCTGGATTAGTCCTGTAGGCGAGCAGATCAGGTCGTCGGGACAGAACCTCTGGTGCGTGGTGTACAGGCTGATGCTGGTGCCGTTGTCGAGGGTGCAGCCGTCGGTGTAGGAAGCTAGCAACAAGTTTAGTGACATTTATGGAGGGTTATGATCCTCTTCATCTTATTGCTAGCTAAACTATTGATGTGAAATTTGTTTATAAATTTCAGTGTATAGTATATTAGGAATATGCTGGTGTTAATGTTTACATACCTTCTCTTTTCAGGTGATAATTTAGTTGAATAAAGCTGCATTCTAGCCACCTTTGTTTGAGACCTATAAGACTTTCAGGTTTATTTCAACTATGCAATGTGCATCCCATTGGGTTCAGTATATAGCTTTTTATAGTCAAAAATTAAAATCACAAAGCTTGTGAGGCAGGTGGTTGGTTGCGAGATTATTTTTCAGTTTGCTGTGATAAACTGATGCAATTGTTATTATTTAAAGTACAGATTTTGTATGAATTACTTTAAACAATACTCAATATTGAATTGTAATTATGGATTTCGTTTTAATAAGGTTATTTTACTATAAAGAATCTTTACAAAACTGTCTGCCCTTAACTAAATACACTTGTCCAGGCGTCACCTCAACTCTCTTTCCCTGACGAAAAACTAACTGCGCGATTAGTTAGGTAAACCTCATCTATGAATTGTCAGCTCGATTAAGATTTTTATTTCCTTCCTATTGTAACTGAGAAGGTAGTGGTAGTAGAGACTCCGCTCTGTCCAGGGAATAGCGCTCTGCAGCTTAATATAGCTCAGTATCGCAGGGACACATGAGACAATATGATCTAAATTTCCTGGCTATACCTAACGAAATGTGCTATTCTTCGCTGTAGTGCGGATAACAACCTCACAATGCAATTTGACTCATAAACAATATCTGCATTATTTTTGTATATAGTTTTCTCAAATTGTTCTTAGTTCTTCTGTTCTCACCGGCAGGAGTTTTGCAATGCCAGGAGCCCGTCTGCGGACCTCGCACGTGGTTCAGCTGTCCAGTCACCAACAGGCACTCGAGGCCCAGGAAGCAGTAGAGCAAGGAGCTGTAGCTGACCGCTAGGGCAGCGCATGAACATTCCTTCGATGTGGACACCAGGGAATGCGGGAAGTTGAGGACAGTTGTGATATTCACTGGCACAGTTATGAACAAAGTGCTGGATATCTCGCTGCACATGACGCCGGATAGAAGCGTTACTAAATGCATTAAGAGCTGCATATTTTCCACAAGATTGCCAGCTGTGAATTAATCTTCCAAATGCGATTGTCATGCGAAATAATAGAGTAAATATCTCTATTTATACCTCAGGTGAACATGATATGTAAGTATACTCAGCCAGGTAACTCAGCGACGTCTCAAATTTAGAAGCAAAAACCGTGGCCGAATGTCAAAAAAGCTTCGACTAAAAGACTGAGCAGAGCTGTGCTGCCTTTTATAAGTACTGCAGTGCCTTCAACGAACTGCGACTAGACCTCTATTTGCATTGATCAAAGATTGATAAAATCTAGCCACTGAATTATAAATTTGAACATCTGATAAAGTCAGTACACCAGTACACTGCTGAATCGATCTTTTATGACTTCGTGTTGACATCCATTCGTCGTCTTTTAAGAAATCGCGACTCTTTGATGCCTGGAACGCAGGAGTCAACATAAAACATGACAAGAGTTCGTGACAGACTAATAAATATGTAAAATCAGATCGCAATGAATTAAGAAAAGCCTTTCCTGGATTTAACTAAAAAACTGAGTTGACATTTCTTCTCGCTTCGAGTCACCGACATGTGGAACAGTCTCCCTGATAGCATCGTTGACGCTCCGAGTATGAACGCCTGCACGAACAGACTACAGGGGAGCATATGTTCAGTCTTGAAATGCCTAGCACCTTACGAGCCTTGCAAAAAGTCCAGCAGCTATCTCAATCAATTCGTCAGTTGTGGAAAGATCGGGTCCAAAAACTGGATGCCTGGTGGAATCAAGTCACGAAAAGTACAAGAATCGGCAACAGGCCATGTGCCAATTTCTTCAGTGCCGACATTTCTATTATATTCTATTAATGAATAACCAACCTGAAATACTCTAGGACGTTAATGTAAAAAAGTTGATGAATGAGGGTTGCTAAAGGTGCTGAGATTGAATTGAATTCAGAAGTTACAAACGGCGTTTCCTCTTTTAATTCATTAATGTAAATATGTATTACTTAGAAGGAATGTGAAGATTCAATGTTTATTGAAGGATTGATGAATGATGCCGTCGACCAACATCTGTGTAGGTGATGCGTGCGCGTTAGAATAAAGACACGACAGAGCATGGCATAAAGCAATATTGATAGCAAGTGGTAATTAAGTTTTAGTTACTCTATGAAATATTGAATTACATTGTAAGAATTAAATTCTAGAGAAAAACTTGGCAGTTTACACCTAGCAGTTGTTCACGCGTCGATATTGACCAAAAAATGAAACGAATGACTGGCCAAGGTTGCTCGATGGCACACTCTAAAAAGAATTCACAATTTTTTTTAATTACCCTATTATTACAGCGTAAAAGTATTTCTATCGTTTACTGAAGTTTTGTAATTCAGAAATTAGACGAATGTTGTTCATGCTTGAAAATTGATATTTTTGATTTATTATGTTACACTTGAATAATAAAGAACACTGAAATAAATAGTTGAACTTTTAGTTAATAGGGTTACATGAAGCTACAAAAATGGTGTTCAACGAGCTAGAGGATTTAATAAAAATAAATATGACGTTCGCAAGAAATGATAGTGCGATTTGTGCATTCGAGTCACTACAAGGTTTTAGCTCAGAGGATATAAAAGAAAACAACGCAGTTTAAACGATTTAATAAAAAAATGTTCAGCATCACATGATAATATCAGGTACAGAATAACGGTACATTGGGGAAATGAAAAAAAGAGAAATGCAATACACTGGAGTGAATATGACCGAATTGAAGACAATTTGGGCCAAGTTGTACTTAGCTGAAACTAAGCTCGATGCTTTAATCAGTCGATAAAATCATATAGGAGCGACACTCCACACACCAGCTGAGACAAGTCAGAAGAGCCGAGATACAAAACTAACGCATCGGATGATAATACAGAGAAATACAATTACTCAAGTTCGAATCATATTAATACAAGCAGCTGCTCTTTACTACCAGAATACGGGCATGAATGTTACATTATTTTTAATTGAACTATGAGTTACGTATGGGTTACATAATCGTTTCGGCAGGAACTTGCTGGCATGAGGACAGATTTACTGTAAAAAATGATAACAGCCGCCAACTGGAATGTAAAATAGTAACCTGAATGGACTGGGGGAGTTGAATATTCATTGAAATTTAGGAAAAGTGCAAATTCAACAATATTGCGCACACCCCCACGATACTGATTCACCGTTGTTCATAAATCTACGTATTTTCACGCCCAAAAGAATTGTAAAATAAATTTACCTATAATATGATAAGGTTGAAAAAAATACCCACAATCGTTAGTCGAAGTGCTCAAAGCAGACCAAAGTCTATTCGATATTCAATAAAATTTAATGGTTGAAATAATGAACTCTCGTCCAAACGTGAATAGCGCTTCTTCGTAGCGCTACATCACAACACAGCCTCCCCTGGAGTTGCAGTGATGTGAGGGCGGCGTTGCAGTGCAACATCACAACACAGCCTCCCCTGGAGTTGCAGTGATGTGAGGCCGGCGTTGCAGTGCAACATCACAACACAGCCTCCCCTGGAGTTGCAGTGATGTGAGGGCGGCGTTGCAGTGCAACATCACAACACAGCCTCCCCTGGAGTTGCAGTGATGTGAGGGCGGCGTTGCAGTGCAACATCACAACACAGCCTCGCCCTGGAGTTGCAGTGATGTGAGGGCGACATTGCAGTGCAACATCACAACACAGCCTCGCCCTGGAGTTGCAGTGATGTGAGGGCGGCGTTGCAGTGCTACATCACAACACAGCCTCCCCTGGAGTTGCAGTGATGCGAGGATGTGCGTGAGCTCAAAATTTGATCAAAAATACATTTTAAATTTGTTAGGTACACGCTAAAAAGCAGTCTCATCAATTCACCATTAACAAAACTCCAAGAATTCACTGCGAATTCCATGGAGAAGATTGGTCATTTGCAAAATAAATTAATCCGAGGCATTTCCCCAGTAATTAATTAAAACTAGCATTGAATAAACAAGCACGATGAATTTTTTCATGCAAACTGGACAAGCTACAACAGATGACAAATTAATAAGGTTTTTTAGACAAATCAAACATATCGTAGCCCAGTCATAGACTAACGCTCATCAGGATCCGAACAAACTTAATTCAAGTGCAAAATAAGCAAACAAATAAGATAAACTAAATTAGGTTGACCAGCGCCTGACTTAGATAACTCCGAATACGTCAAGTCATAGGGCATGAATGACTTCGTGTATAAAATTGAAGATTCCTTAAACATATCCTTTTAAAATAATAGACTCCTTAAACATAACCTTCTTAAACAATAGTAGCCCGGCACCGCAACCTGCATAGGAGGTGTTGGTTCAGGGCTTGTTGGGGTTGTTGGCGAGCAGCCAGTCAGCCAACCACGTGATAGGCTCCTCAGGCCGCTCCCTGCAGAGCTCGGTGAGACCGCGCACCAGCAGCGGCGACACTGTGTGGCTCAGGTACTCCTTGGCGCCCTCCCCCGTCAGCGCCGCCTCCAGGGTTACTGACATCAACACATCATGTTATGGCACGCAGCATTCCTGCCATAATGAACAACTTAATGCAAGAAATATTGATGTATAAGAAAACTTGTTGAAATATTCAGATGATGCCACAATTTAAGGACACGTAATTCAAAGAAAAAACGTTTTCAAGTAAAAAAAAAAACACGATTTACAAAGAATTCGCCGTCATCCATCGAAATGCCCTGTCGTCTTACATTCAAGCGTGGTGGTAAGTCATGGTATTATTTCTCGGAAAACTTCTCGGTTATTGACGTGGTGTAGCCGAGCGCGCACGAGGCTCCGGTTCATCGGGCCTTCGAAAGCTTGCCCCCCAGACTCTAGAATGAACTTTATTCTCTGTATTTGCCGTTTGATATAGGACAGGAATAGAAGCTGTATACGACTGACAAAGAGAACAGATCAATAAACTCTCACGTTCATTACCTGTCGTCTACGATGAATCGAATTGTACTACAACCGCCTGGGATAAGCCCAAGGTTTTGCAGCGAACAGTCTAGAACCTAACACAACCATGCTAGAGACCAAACAAATTAATTTAGCGCTGAAACTTTCATGAGGCCATTATATAATTGAAGGGTCCTTCTGTAATATAAAACTATGGGTCTGTACCCATCACACGAACACAACCAATAATTGTTCTCAAGAGCGTCACGTGAGAGGGAGCCGTCGTACCAATGAAGTGACATGAAAGTGAACCAGAATATAGACAACGTGCACGGTGCATTTGAACAATACGACTTCTACTTCATCCTCAGTGCCTAATTCGGTTGACAATAACAAATGCACATAAATTTGAGTAGCTGACAAATGAACATTGCAAACTTGGCAATCTACCAATATAAACTTAATGAGGCAATAATCAAACGAAATCAAATCGATTGTTGTTATTCAATATTAATACAGAATAATTCGAGAAATGATTCAGATTTGTAGGCATTTAGAAGTGAATGTTAGGGCAACATTGACATAACTAAAAAACGGGCCTAAATGAGGGTTTCAATTACTTGTTGAATCATTGCGATACCTGCCATTTGTACACTTGGCAAGAGCTTAACTTATCAGTCCAACATGATGGGATAGAACAAATTGTATGTGAGGAGCCTCAGCACAGGTACTACAAGCGCATGGATCGTTTACATTAGTATCCTGTAGTGATCAAGACAATTGCGGTAAATGTGCACTGAATGTGTTTGCCCATAGCAGAAAAACCAATCAAAGCCTTATATCGATATTTGGCTTCGAGAACCATGACACAAGTAATACTATTAGTAAAAGCTGGAGTTCATCATAGTTTAATAAAATTCGAAACAAGAACAAACACCAGGGGCCACCGCTATAAACTAAAAAACTGCATTGCAACTCATCCACGCGATAACATTTCTTCTCGCTTCGAATCACCGAAATGGGGAACAGCCTCCCTGATTACATCGTTGATGCTCCAAGTGTAAACGCGTTCAAGAACAGACAAGATAAAACTATGGAGAAATATATGTTTAGACTTGAAATGCCTAGCAAAATATCGAACCAGGCGGAAGTCTAGTACCTAGCTAGGTATTTCAAACTATCGTCAGTTTGGAAAAGTTCCGGTCGAAGGACCTGCTATTAGATCTTCTGTGAACAAGTCACGAAAAGTACAAGAATCGGCAACAGGCCACAACCAGGCCTACTCTTCAGTGCCGACTTCACTGTGTTATGTTATACTAACTAAAGTTACAATCTGAACGACAAGTTTTTACATTAGTAGTTGTTGAAGTCACCTTATCCAGAATTAAACATAACATGGCACGAAGCTCAGAACTGCATTAAGGCACCAAAGCAATCCATTAGACTTGGCATAAACTAAAATCAAGAATGCTGCTCTTTCAGCATCCAGTTTCTTGAATATGTCTCTGTCACTGCACAACAAACCTTACAACATTCTACGCACAAATAAAATATGAAAATAAATGTGAATCAATATAATCTATGCAGGACCGGGCATGCAACATTGCATTGTGATAGTAGGGTCACAAATTCTGGGGTCATTCCCCACAGCAAAAGGAAGGATTATCGCGTCACACTTTGTCCCTGCAAGTCTAAAAAAAATATCAAAGTATTAAATTTTGAATTTATTCAACTAACATCAACGACCGTTATATCCTAAGATGCATCAAAATGAGTATACATCCAATAGTACAAATATCAACAGGAAAAATAATAGAGCCGATTGAACCTCCATTACTCGAATCATTAGTTAGCAAATAACTAAAAGAAATTCCGGTTAATTAAACACATCAGCAATGACCGTGGAGGTAATAATCTAGGGCAGTCCTACAAAAACTTGCTTCAGCACACGTAGCGGCCGTGTTCTCGTCTGTGATTAGTGGGTTTAGCTTGAAAATCCGTCAGTTATTGGGTGATGGAGTTGGAACTCTTAGCTATTTTTAATAGATTGGGCAATTTTACATGATGAAGGTACCGGTATTCATAAGTCTGATGCAGAAGCACAAATAAAGCCTAAAGGTAATTCTTGGCACTCAAAACATTCCCTGATCCCTAATAATTTTCATGCAGAAAGGTGGATGTTTTTTATAAAAGTGGAAAATTGTACTGAAAATAGATGAGGTAATGAAAATGAAATAAATGAGATTTATTTAGGAATAATTTCTGTTTCTTTTGAGAAGTAATATCATGCCGACTCTTATTGTCTGTTAGCCATGTCTTGAGACACTGTAGTGCAGTGTCTCCAGCCTATTGCACGAGCCATAAAATAGAATAAACCAGATAGCATTGATGTCAGCAGTGAAGTTTGTCTTCACTCACAGTCAGGGAAGAAAAACTTGATCTCCCTCTGAGCAGATGTAAGAGAGTCCGAGCCATGGGTCCCATTCTTAGAGTCGTTGCCAGGGTCTCCAAAGCGTGCCCTTAGTGAAGACGGAGCCTCCTGCCGTGCCACTGAGACCTTCGTGGGACCGAGCACCTGGCGCCAGCGAGCCACCGCATCATCTCCTGCAGGCAAAGGGACAATCTTAAAACCAGTCAACTCAGCATTTGCTGTCTCAAGCTTCATCTACTGAGAGCAATTCTTGTTTATATGACAGAAAATAAATATGCCATTCCTTTTGGTCAAATTCAGTTCAGATTCAGCACCATTCTCATGCAAACATTAAAATCATGGATGAAAAACAATAATTACAAAAACCAGTATATGTTTTCAGAGAACCAATTTTTTGTTGATGGTCATTGCAATACAAATCAATAGGTTGATGACAAATGCTTGAGAACTAGAGGTTAAGAATTGAGAGTGAAAAATATATGAAAATGATTAGCATTCCACTTACCTGATAAAATGAAAGCAATCACATCTCCTGATGTCATATACTCAATGAGGGTCTCAAAGAAGGGCTTGCCTTTGTGCTCAGCATAGAATGTCTCGGCATCTGCTTGTGACAAAGTCACCTGCCGCCGCTGCACAAACAATTAACAAATAAAGATGCTATTTAACCTTGTAAGCAGAAGGCTGTTTTAGAACAGTTCACACAAGTTTGATTGCAATTCCTATTACAGAATCAATGAAACCTACAAAAAAAGATAAAATTTTCAAACAAATTATTTTTGTAATTGAGTCATGGTGAGGTATAATTGATGAAAAATGAAGACACCTGTTATCTTACAGGTTTGAACAGCAACTACTTGTGAGTTTCAATGAAAATTGCAACTATCAGCACAAAGGTACATAGTCTCCATTGGTGGAGAAGTTAAATACATGACAGATTTAAGCAATTTTATCATGAAAATTCATTCTATTGAATGTAATTGTGATAATAACTAACCTCAACTATTGTGAAACCTTCCTCTGTGATCACTTTTTCAATTTCTGCAGCTCTATTGACAGCATCAGGCTTGATGAGAGCTAGAGTGCGCTGAACTCCTGCATTGGCCATTGCACCAGATCTTGTTACCAAACTTATAACTGTATTTCCTTAGTAAATTTTACTGCCCAGATAAATAATGTAGGCAGAAATATAGTACCTACTTCATTTAAAACAAGAGCCAAGAAAGCAAGTAGAACAGCTGAGTGACTATGTAGTAGGTCATCATGCTCAGACAAACAACCAGAGACTCACTTTCTTAATTGTACACAAGACTTTATATGGTGGTAAATAAATTTTACACGAGACTTGATGTGGTAAAAGACCAAGAAAGCAATTTAAACATAGCCATTTACAATACTATATAAACATTTATTTATGGAATACAATCTTAGGATTGGCTTTAGAAAAATTTTTCAGCCTTGTAATTGATGGCATGCAAAATAATTAGCAGTTTTTTATAGTAATCATGGCAGAGAAGAAACAATTTTGTTGCACTTTGTCCTGAGCTGCTAAAAGGTTCTACTTGATATATTGGAATGATAATTCTCTTATCACAGAATTTTATAGAACTTGTAACGGACCTTGAACTTGTGTACTATCAAACAGGGTAATAAGGGATGGGCGGAGTAAATTGGGACAGTCGTCCCACATTTTGTAGAAATTTTGTAGCAGCTAAACTTATCAGAATATTGCAAAACTAAAAATAGTGGAATGAAGTTCAATATTTTTACTCTATGTAGCATAAAGCAAGTTAAGAAATCATAAATTAACTACCTTTAAAAAATCCCTGAAAAAAGTGTGATAAGTGAGATTTTGGAAGAGTACGGTGTGTACCTCTGCTAAGGTCTATAGTAAAAAAATATTTGCCATATTAAAACATATAACTTTCATGAAAGTTGCACACAGGTGTTGACTTAAAACGTGTAAATGAGACACAGGAACAGAAATGACACAAATCTGAAAATCAAGCCCACACTGGTATTATTATGAATTCAATAGTGTCAAATCACAACAAATACTGAGTAATGCACACATGATTGTACATGATAATGTCTGGTCAATACAGTTCAGAACACGAATTTAAAAGCAAAGAAAACAGCCAGAATATTAACCATTTCTTAAGAATGAAAACGTTTCGGAGTCCAGCTCCATCGTCAGTTCAAAGTTCAAAACCTATAAGAAAAGCAGAATCAATTAGAAAACTAAATTCACATCGAAGATAAAAACATAAATTGACATAAAAACATAAGTTCAGAACACTCTTCAACACCACTACTGGTACCCTAACATAAAACTGGCAGCTATTTCATCAACTTTTTCTTTAATGTTCAGTTCAAGAGTGTCTAGCTCATCTTGCTTTGTTTTCAAAGATTGCCTCATGGAGTTGAACTTGGTGATTTTTCAAACCCCTCTTTCTCTCTATTGCTTCTACACATTTATCTGCTGCTTGCTCAAGCGCTTTGATGCCCTCCTCCGTACGCCATTTCTTCTTCTTCAGTTCATCTAGCTCATTCAATAAATCCTTCCTCTTCTGCATTGTCTGAGCCTTTGAATTCTGCTCTTTCTCTCCTGCCAAATAATTATTGTAGGCTGTTCTGGCACTGCCAGCTGCAAGCAGCATCCTCTTTGTGATGGTCATCTCATACAGGCCACAAACATGTGCAACATGATCAACCGCAGCACGCAGGGCAACCATTGTTTGCTCTTTAATGTTGTGTGTCATGATATCCTTGAACAAAAACCCTTTTTCAATCGTGGCTTGACCATGAAACAGAAGCATGAGCATCTGCACTACATTCCAGAGCTTCTTGTAGGTGCTCTTTGACAGAATGGCATGCCAAAAAGTGTCCAGTTGATCAGAAGTTGAAAATGCATGAAACTGTGCATGCAGTTCACTGCAATGTTCTGACTCTCTCTAAAGATGGGAAGCTGCCACTGCACATCAAAAAGTTGTCAAATTCAACTGAGCTTAGTGAACAAGCTCATGTGATTGGTTCTCCAATCAGAACACAGGAAACAAGAGACTGCACAAACAGTAAACACACGCAGCACAGAAAAACACTTCACGTAATTGGTTCTCTAATCTTGTGACTGACGGTAACGTTGAAGAGGGCCGCAGAACATTAGCTACATTGTATCATAGTGTTTTGTTTACTTCAAGGCCATGCCTCCTAATATCATTTGGTTTTCTCCCTTAGAAGGAGTGGTTAAATTCTATTTTGTTTTCGATAATGTATGTGTTTCTTCTGTGTTTGTTTCAGACATATATATATATTTGTTATTAGCCTTACCATTACACGTGTCTAGTATTTGCCAGTGAAAATGACATGGTCATGTTTAAATACTAGACATGCACCAGCCTAGTCCTGTTTAAACTTATGCCTATCTGCACCTGATTGTCCATCAATGGATAGTCTCTCAGGCCCAACTCAGGGTGAGGGGGCTCATATCCACATGGGTTTTTTGGAACTCCAGCAGATCAAACTGCTACAACAAAGTAAACAATTCAAATAGTCAAATTAATCAGAATCAGGTAATAAATGTGGAAAGTATACGGTATGATAGCCTAATCCTGAAAGTAATGGATGGGTACACTCAGCAAGCTTCAAACATTTTAAAATTAGGTTTTATTTCAAGTGTTCCGAATTACCCTCTTACCAGGGGTATTTGGGAGACTTTTCTCTTGCATCTGCCATCTAGCACCTTACAACTACCTACCTAGCATATGGAATTTTTTGTGGAGATGCCATTATTGCCATATGATGGCTTCCAGTTTATGTCATGTCATGATGTCAGAGTGTTAGCGAAAAATTCTGCCAGTGAAATACATTGTGTACAAGTTGTCGTTTTAATGTTGCTTATGTTTCTTTTTCTTTTAGAACTAGGGGTCATCCCCTATGTTATTTAGGCTCATGGTTGCAGGCTCAAGGTGTCAATAAGTTTACTTCTTATTTATTCTTATGACTTGTTGACAAGTTAGATGCTTGAGGCCTTTCTTAGGGCCTCAGAGGCCTGTTCATCTTTCTGAGACTATGCTAACTTTTGTACTATTAGCAAAATGCAGGGCAGATGGGTTGGAAAAAAAATTTGTGTCTAGTTCTGGCATGATGGAGCATAGAGAGTAGGCAGATAAAGCCAATGTTTATCAAGACAACTCTTGAAAGTATCCACAGATGGTTTTGCTGACAATGCCTGACATTCTCTGGCAAGCTGTTCCAGTTTGTGACAACTGACAATTCGTTGAGAGAAAAAGTTGACTCTAATGCTGTCTGAAGTGGCTCTTTTGGAGTTTTAGAGAATTTCCTCGGAGTCAGAGGGCTCTTGCTGTAGCCATCGCAAAACTCGGGCATGAGATGTCATAGTAGCCATGCAGGTATTTATAAACCTCATTCATATTGCCCCTCAGCCAGAGGTGTCAAGCATGGTAACTTCAGCATCTCAACTCTTAAGCCTATCTGAGTAGGGTTTGTCTTTTAAATGATGCCAAGAGTTTTGTTGCTTGTCTCTGACTCTCTGGAGTCTGGATGTCTTCTATATCAATACATAGTGTCTTGGGAGTTGGGAGTACATAATGGGAGTACCAGTACTGTAAACTGGTCCATGACTGATGAAGCCCTAAACAGGGCTTAATTATTGCTATTAATTAATAAAAGAAGAGTTGGCACTGAAAAAAAAGAGGCCCATGGTGGGATGATGGCCTGTTATTTAGTTTTGCACTTATCATGACATGATTCACAAGGGCCAAGAGGGATCCATCCAGCCTCTTGAACCCAATCTTTCAATAACTGACAATGAGTTGAGATAGCTGCTGGGCTTATTGCCATTTGCCAGGTCAGTAAGGTGCTAGCCTATGCATTTCAAGAATGAACATGAACATATGCTTCTGGAGAGTAGAGTCCATACTCCATAGCTTGGTCATGTGCACAGCCAAAGACCAGCAAATGACCTCTCAAGTCAGCCGTGGCCCGTGGGGCTGGGGGCTGGGGGCTGGGGCCAAAATCAATTATCTAAATGCTATAGATATTGTCATCCTGGCACCTAAGCACTTGTAGTCAATTGACCCATCTCACCACACAAACTCTAAACCAACAATGCTTCAGCACAGTCCCTAATGGTCTGCTCACTCTGCTGGCCATGCTGCATTGTTGCAAATGTGAACTGTTCTGTACCAAACATGAAATCAAAGAGGTCACTATGAGAAGCGTAGCCCTAGCGGCCGGACAGCATTGGTGGAGTAACAAGGAACAAATGAATTGAATAGAAGTGTTGGCTGAAGAAATAGGCCCATAGCTCTGGAGGCAAAAGGGTCAGCAGCACCACGCAGGCCCACAGCGTACCTGCAACAAAAGGGACAAAATCAGCATCTGGTCACATGTGCTACCGCGCTGGGTGACGGGTCGTAAAACAGTGAGCAGAACAGACTCAAGGGGGGGGGGGAACAGACTTGGGGAACAGAACAGACTCGAGGTAATGAGCATACCCCACTATCCAGAGGCAGAAGCCAAAAGCCATTGTTATCCAACTGTGCTGGCCCAGCTCAGTAGTAGTAGTACACAAATGTAAAGAAACACAGCTCTCAAGGCAAAAAATCTCTCAATTCTACTTAATATACATAACAATTTTGCAAGAGCTTTACAACAATTAAGCGCCGAAGCGGGGCGCCGTAAAGGGACACATGCAGTGACATGCCGGATCAGGGCCAGGCGGCCAGCTTTGCTATACTTCACACTTAGTTCATACTTCTTTCCGTAGGTAAGAACGCTAGAGGGCATAACAGCCGATGAAGTCAAGTGCTCAAAGCAAAGCTGCCAAAGCGCCGAATGTCCACTGGCCACTGCCTCAAATTAAGCTTGCTAAAAGTAAGCATGGCTTAGATGGCTATACTGCATCTGGCCCAACCTATACGCATAGTGACAAACCAGAGCTTTTTTAGAATCGGTTTATTTTTAATTTCCTCAAGATTTAAACCAATTTCTTATGTATGATAAAGCTGGTATCCATGATACTTTGCTTGTCTACTTATAGAACTCAAAAATGAACTTGAAGGAGAGTAAAAAACTCTCTGCTTTGCCACTATGCAGGCTATACGAGCTGCAACCTTTCTCCACCCAAAATAAACCTGAGCGGCTGAGCGGTCCAGAGCAGACCTAGCCAGCCTTACCTCATTGGCTGCAAGAAGTTAGAAAGGCGGTAACTATGGCTTATAGCTCTGAGAGACTGAGGCTAAGTTAACTTGTGCAACCGCACCTTTGTCT